TTATATCCTGCTACTTTACTAAAATTATTAATTTTTTCAGCTAACTTTTTAGTTGTCATTGGGATTTTCCAGGTATATCATCACATCATCTGCAAAAAGAAATAGCTTTATTACCTCATTCCTATATTGATTCTTTCTATTTTTTTTCTTCTCTTATTGCTATTGCTAGGATTTCCATAGAATAATGAACAAATTACTTATCAGGCTTATGGATAGGCAAACAATTTAGGAATAAACAAGAGATTAAGGGAGCAAAGTTAGGTACAAAATGGATAATTCTGATTACATTAAATTTAAAAGGTTTTGTATAAACAAAACAAATATAGCCAAGATTAGAAGGAAAGCATAAAATTGGGGAAAAATTTTTTATAGATAATTTATCAGATAAAGGTTTCACACCTAAAAACAGAAAGAACTTTGTCAAATATGTAAGAATATGAGTCATTCCCCAACTGATAAATGGTCAAAGGATATGAATAGGAATTTTTCCAATGAAGAGACCAAAACAATTTATAGTCATATAAAAATGCTCTAAATAATTATTGGTTAGAAAAATGAAAATTAAAATAACCTTGAGATATCATTTTATACTTACCAGATTGGCTAAAATGATTGAAGGGGAAAGCAACAAATGTTGGAGGTTTTGTGGAACAATTGGGCCACTAATTCATTGTTGGTGAAAATGTGAACTGTTCCAACCATTTTGGAGAGCAGTATGGAATTATGCCCAACTACCTATACCCTTTGACTCATCAATACCACTAACTTGGTCTATTCTGAAAGATGATTAGGGAAAAAGGAAAAGAACCTGTATGTTCTAAAATGTTTATAGCAGCTCTCTTTGTGATGGCAAAGAATTGGACATTGCTGGGATGCTCATCAATTGGGGAATGACTGAACAAGTTGTGGTATATGATTGTAATGGAATACTAGTATGCTATAAGAAACAAAGAGCTCAATGATCTTAGAAAAAACATGGAAAGACTTGCACAAAATAATGAAGAGTGAAATGAGTAGAACAAAGAGAACATTGTATACAATAACAGCAATATTTTTTAAGAACAACTTTGAGTGAATGCATTATTTTGTCTATTATAAATACCCAAATTAACTATAAAGGACATATGAAGAAAGATGCTATCTGAGGACAGAGAAAGAACTAATAAATAGAAGTTTTTGTAAAATAATTTTACATAGATACCTATTTGTGCCTAATGGTAGCCATTTCTAGGGCGAAGGTGGGGAGAGGGAAGAAAAAAGGGGAAAAAAAGAAATTTACATCATAGCTTTTTATATATTTAAAAGGAATAGCATGTTGTACGTAATAGATTAACAGTTTCATGTGCAATCATATTTTTTATTATGCTATGTTATGGAAATGCTTGTTTTATTTCATAAATTAAAAACAAATGAATGTGAAAAAAATTTAAACAATTTCTAGAGCAAAATACAAAGCTCTCAATCTTTTAATGAGATCCATCCATAATCTCCTTCCAACCGACCTTTCCTGATGCATTTCTCTTTATGCCTCTGCCTGCATTTTCTACCCTTCAGCCAACTTCTTCTACTTACTGATCCATTCCTTGGCACTCCATTTCCCACCTCCTGCCTTTGCATAGATGTTCCCCAGGAGTGCCCTTCCTCCTCTACTCCACCTCTTAGAAATCCTTTGTGATCTCTTTCACAACGCTTTCTCTGATCTTTCTACTTATTGGTGCTCTCTTTTCCCTCCTCAAATTCTTTTGCATTGACTTGTCTGATTACATGTCCTAGTAGAAGGGAAGTTCCTTGGGAGCAAAGCTAGTTTTCCGTTTTTCTCTTTGCATTCCTACCACCTCATGCAGTGTCTGGCACGGAGGAGGTGTTTAGTAAGTGTTTGTTGAATTGACTTGAATGAGCTCCTTCTTGCTCAGGGGAACCGGTCCTTGGAGGATTGGACCTTCTTCTGCTCAAACCTCGTACTTGAAGTTTCCATTTGACCGTGGTTAGGAAGGAGAGAGAACTAATAGCTAGAGGTATTAGACATGGCAGAAGTGGCACCTGAGAGGGCCCTCAGATCACCCAGGCCCAATCTAGGAAATTGAGGCTAAGAAAGAGGATGGCACTTGCCTAAGGTCACATGATTTGTGGCAGACCTGAGGTGTGAACCAGGCCCTCTGGTGCCAAATCCAGTGACCATTCTGCTCCCCCAACTGGTCTGGGAGGTGGAACCTGCCAGCGCCAGCCCTCTACTGGCCTGGCCTGTGAGAACCCTGGGCTCCCTCCGGGGAATGAGAAGGCAGCCTGGAATCAGGGCAATGTGGACTGTGTTTTCCTGTGTAAGCAGAGTCCTGTCTGCACTGTCTTCTCACAAGGAGAACAAGAAATGAGGTGGGACAAAAGGAATGTAGGAGAGAAGCAGCAGCAGCATTTCCCTGTGGACGGCTGGCTTTGGAGAACTGACTAGGTGTTGTGACCTTTGTAGCCCTTTGGATTCCTGTGATGAATTCATTAACTTCATTGTGAAATTTCTTTCCATCAAAGCAAATTAAAGTTACCACCCCTTGAACAGGAAGGAAGGGATAGTAAATGAGCAACTAAGCAAAAAAGATTCTGAAAAGTGCAAGCTCAGCAAGGGCAAAAGTGCTGAGAACGAACTTACAAATGCTGGTAGGTTCAGAGATTATTTTAGGCACTTTGGTGACTTTTTATCAATGTCTTCCCAGTTACAAAGCTCTTTTCAAGACCCCAAGTTTCTCCAGAAGCCAGAGCCTTTCTTTGGAGTGCCCACATTCTATTGTGTGTCCTTACAGAAATTAATCAATCAATCAGTGAATATTTATTAAGCTTCTACTATGTGCCAGGCACTGTGCTAAGTGCTGGGGATACAAAGAAAGGCAAAAGACAGTCCCTGCCCTCGAGGAGCTTACAATCTAATGGGAGATCACAGCAATGGGACAAAGGTCAAAACTTGAGAAGAGCAGAAAGTGACCTTCACCCAGAGAGTGATGGGGAGGTCTGTGGCACATGGCAGCAGGTGGCCACATTAAACCATTGAGGACATTTTGAAAACAGGGATAAAAGGCATCATGCCAGAAATGTTGGGTAGGAAGAGAAGATAGGCTGGTCATGAATGATATTCTCATGATGTCTGGAAGAAGCAAGCAAGGGCTTCTGTGCAATGGATGGAGACCTCACATGTCATATGCCACCATGTGCCAAGCTTAGGGGAACATGTACAGGGAGTCATAGTTGGACTGCAATCTGCTTTGGTGGAGTTCAGAACTCCATTAGAATATTTGAGTACTGAGAATAGTTTTAAGATAGAGTCTTCATTTTGGGAGGGTTGAAGTCTATGGTTTTATCACTGTAGCAAACTCTTGGTGGGCGTGGAAATTCCTACCACCAATAGAGTCTGGCAAACTGGTCTGCGTTCTAGATTGGTCTAGAGAGATGCCTAAGACATTGAGAGGTTAAGCAACCTGCCCAGAACCACACAGCTAAAATGTGTCATGGGCAGAACTTGGATCTAGATTTTATGGATTCCAAGGCTTCTATCCACTATGCAACCCTGCCCTTCCTGGTTTTCAAGTCTGGGTAATTTGACCAACTCAGTCAGCCTCCAAAATCTCCACGTGAGGATAAACAGAAGAAGGCCTGAGGGTTGAGTTCCTTAACCTTGGAGGGCAAAAAGTGTCCGAATTTGAACTCAAGATCTACCTGCCTGTGGTGCCCCGTACAGATCATAGTTGACTGGGGGAATGCACCAGGTAAACAGATAAGGACATCCATTATAAGTACAAGCACTCCAGCTGAGGGGCATGGTAGTCTGCCTGGATTCCCAGCTCCTAACATGGCGCTTCATACTAGGAGCCACTCCCTAAATGCTCACTGCTCATTGGATTGGAACTCCCTCCCTCCCTCCCGTGGCAGCCCACTTGTTAGAGGACTTTTCCTGACATCTAACTGAAGTTGATATCTTTGTAACGCCCACCCACCGCTTCTAGCTCTGCCATCTGAGACCAAGCAGAACAAAGCTCAGCCTCCATTCACTCGGCAGCCTTTCAAATGCTTGAAGAAAGCTCTAACTGCTGATCGAAGGCTTTCCTTCTTCAGGTTACCACCTCTCTCCCTGCTCCCATCGATCAACATGCTCTCAAGGTCCTTCCCCACCGTGCTAACCCTCCACTGGATGCCCTCCAGCTTATCAGCATCCTTGCTGAACGGTGGCATCCAGAGCTTTGGTAAAGGCTCCTCCTTCCCAGCACTGCCCTTTCCCCCAGCCTGGAGGAGGCGTTAGAATGTTCTGCAATCAGTGACGTAGAGAGCCCCTCGTGATGGGCAGAATTCAGCTAAATCGCTCTCTCTCCTGGATAAAATGTAAAGGATGCTGGCACTGGGTGAGAAGCGTGGCTAGATAGCCTCCATGTTTATGAATCTACGATTCACTTACAGAATCAAATCTAAAACATATGTTTGAATTAGGTTATGATCTTAGCTTTCTAAATAACAAGAAGAAATATGCCACTGCTTCTCCTGGAAGAAAGATTTCTGTCTGCATGACCCTCTCAGTGGAGAACAGCAATAATAATAATAACGATAAACATAAACTAACGTTTCTATAGCACTTACCACGTGCCAGCCAAACTCTTTACGATAATTATCTCATTGGATCCTCACAACAACCTTGGGAGGTAGATGCCGTTATTATCCCCATTTTACAGATGGAGAAACTGAGGCAAACTGAGGTTACGTGACTAGCCCAGCTAGTTAGTGTCTGAAGCTGGATTTGAACTCAAGTCTACCTGACTCTAGGCCAGGTGCTCTATGCAGAGTGGAGCCCGCAGCTGCTTGGGTTATTCTACTATCTTACCTGTCAAGAAATTCGGCTTTGGAAGTTTCTATTGACTGAAAAATCGAGAAAACCTTCTGCATGAATGTTTCACGGGAGAAATTCCATGCTGGGATGCTGGGAAGCTGGGAGCCCGGCGCAGCAAGAAGCATCGATGGATTTTACTCACCCGGTGGACGGGTTCATGATGCAGCCTCCTTTATCAACCATTGCCTGACAGTGACATCCCCGCTCCAGGGTGTCGTGATTCATGCCCAGGTTGTGGCCGAGCTCGTGGGCGAGGGTGACGGCTGCACCCACAGGGCTGTCAGAGTGATCCTCAAAAAAAGAAAGAGACACAGAGCATTCACTTCCACTCAGTCACCCTTAACTCCCATGAATTTAATGCGACTGATCTCTGAGCGTGTCTACACTAGTAAGAAAAGAGGAGTCTGCTTTACATGTAGGGAGACAAGAGGGTCTCACATGTTCTCTTCAGGTTTTCCCTCCCTGCTAGAAGTGTAGTAACCTGGGGCAGAATGTTCCCCATATTCACACGTTGGGGGTGGGCTGGAATCTTCTCTTCTTTATTCATTCTGCTATTTGATTAAATCTTTTGTTTTGCACTGATTTGTCTCCTGGATGGACGGACAGAGGAAACCCATCGGCGGGGGCTCATATTCTATGGTTAAGAGTGTGCTGACGCACAGTGTCTCAATCTCGGGGTAGTTTTTCTGGGGGCCCCATGGACAAGAGTGGGTATCAAAGGCATCGTCTATGCATTTGTAGAGTCAAGTTAGTTTGAGATGCCTCCTGGGGCCCCTCCAGACCTTTCTTCATGTTTTTAGAGCTTTCCACATCTTCCTCAAAATGAAACGGTACATGCTATCTTCCTCACCCTGTTTTTTGAATCTCCTCAGAAGTTACTGTTCTATTTGGACCAAAGTATGAATTCATTTTCCTCTACAGGGGACAGAAGAACCAGCCAATCCTATTTTATCGAGGTCCAATTTAATCTCTTTTTGTCCTGGATTATCCCAAAATAAAATTAGTACAGAAAGGCAGATTTGGTAAGTTACAGTAAGTGAGCAGAAGCCCTCCAATGTGCCTATTTTCACCAACTCCAGGCCACTTTAGATCATTCAGGACAATCCGGGATAAATGGTGGCAGGGGGCATCATTCTAATAGGTTTTCATAGATTCCAGATGGAATTGATTTAGGCCTGATTGGCTGCTGAACTTGGGACAGATGAGGCAAAATGTGAAAATGGACCGTGGCCTCTGGATCTTTCTGTTTATGTTCCTGGACTCTGCATTTGACAATGAGATTGTCTGTAAGGAAGTCATTTCTCCACTTGGAAACGACAGTTTGGTGACCCCACTATTAACAGAGAACCAGATTTCCTTCCACAGATGTTAAAAATCAACACAAGGAGGTTAGGATTCAGTTTAACTAAATTGGGTCAGTGATGGTTCATTAATTAATAAATGTGATTTACAAACCTCTCCAAAGAGCGATATTCTAGCTTCTGGGTTGTTGAAATACTTTGCTATTGGCCAGTTAGTTTTGAGAATGTCAGGAACTGATGCCACTAGATGAGGGGGTGTTTTGTGTTGCCAGGAGAGAAAGCAAACTGTTTGTAACAAGGTCCTGGGAAGGGGTGGGAGGTGTTGGGGGGGAGGGAAAGGAGGAGGAGGGAATAAGCGTTTATAGAGTGCCTACTATGTGCTAGGCACTGCACTCAATGCTTTACAAATATTATCTCATTTTTACCCTCACAAAAACCCTGAGAGGGAAGTGTTATTATTGTCCCCATTTTACAGTTGCAGAAACTGAGGCAAAAAGAGGCTGATTTGCCCAGGGTCACACTGCTAGTAAGTAAAACTGGATTTGAATTCAGACCTTCCTGACTCAGTCTCAGGAAGCTGACAGTTTTCACTAGGGGGAAAAATAGATCATCCCTGCCATTAAAGCTTTTGGTTGTGTTTCTCTTAAACAAGAGGGCACCCAAGAAACCATAGGCATTTTCCTCTTTTTATCAGTTGTCAGTAGGAATCCCTCACTGAGCCACTGTTCCTACATAGACCAAGGAAGAAGGATGGCCTAACAAGACTTCCTGCCCTTCCCTGGCAGGAGAAAGGAGTGGCATGGGAAGGAGCTCAGAGTTATCCTGAGAGCTGATGAAACTCCTGGTGAATTACTCTGTTTAGATTTGAGAGTGTTCTGCTGAAGCAAACCTTATGAATACATATCGAGGAGAGGAGCATGTAGAAGGAGGGTGGGGCCTGTGGAAGTCTGTAGCTATCTTGTTCTTGGAGAAAATTCAAGGAATGTACCCTTAACAAGGACGATGATCTCCTCCTGGCTCTTGGGGATTACACAATGTCTAGGGCTTTTAAATGGAAGAGGGGCATTATTTCAGTAATAAGAGGCAAGGTGGCGTAGTGGGTAGAGAACAGGTTGGAGTCAAGCAACCCTGGGTTCGAGTGCTGCTTCTGATATACTCTGGCTGTGTGGCCCCAGGCAAGTTCATTAACTTCTCAGTGGACCTGGCAATCTTGTAAGACTCTAAGTTGTAGGTTCTGATCTGTGTTGGTAGTAGAAAGAGTATCCTTATTGGGAGTTCCAAAGGCCAATGAAGTCACAGGCACAGTGGAACAAGTATTAGATACTGAGAGGGAGTGTGGTACACATCATCTTATAGGAAGAGAGCTGGCTTTGGAGCAGAGACAAATTAGGCTCATGTCTTCCCCGACACATTGGAACCTCAGGCCTTGGGTATGGGGGAATCAAGGAGAGCAGACCAGACCCAGAACAGGGACACGATTTCCAATCCCACTTTAGACGCTTCCTAGCTGTGTGTGACCCTGGCCAAGTCACTTGACTTCTGTGGAGTTCAGTTTCTTCATCTCTAAAATGAGAGAGTCTGAGGTCCTTACCTGCACTAAAGCCAAGGTCTTGTGACCTCTCGGTTCCCTGGGTAAATCCCAAAGTCTGTAACTTACAGATGAGTTGTTGATTTGCAAAAGTGAATGAATACTATTGGTTCTAATTCTTCCTTAAACATCACTAATGTGAAAATATGTTTAATAGGAATGTATATGGATATCAGATTGAGTGCTGTCTTGGGGAAGGTGGGGTGGAGGAAGGGGGAGAAAAATTTAAAACTCAAAACCTTATGGAAGTGATTGTTGATAAATCAAAATAAATTAATAAGAATTTTAAAAAGTCATTGAATAAGCACCTACTTTGTACAAAGCACTGTGCTAAGCGATGGGAACACATACACAAGAGTGAGACAGACATTCTCTGCTCTCCAGGTGCTCCCCTTCCAAGAGAGCTGGCAATCCATGTAGGCATCAGCTGCAGACCAGATGGGAAATCCCAATGGTCCTTAGGGTACGTCGGCAAAATGGAGGGTCAAGTGTCACTTTGAGTTTCATTTCCATGAACAAAACTCAATTTGCTTCTAATGTCCACACATTTGAGTTCCACACAAGGAGTTCCCTGCACTGATGAAACCAAGTGCAATGCTCCATGTGCTCTGCTGCTTGGTGGCATCACAATGCGCAGAACCAGGGTTGGAGTTAGGAGTTTAAACCTGAGTCCAAACCTGCCTCGGACACTTGGCTGTATGATCCTGGATAAGTCGCTTAACCTCTCCCAGTCTCAGTTTCCTCCTCTGTAAAATGGGGACAATAATGGCACTTACCTCCCAGAGTTGTTGTGAGGCTCAAATGAGGTAAAACACTTGTAAAGTGCTTTGCCTACCTGAAAGCGTTACCCGAGAACCCAGAGTGGCCTTCTCACTGTTATCAGGCACCGGAAGAGCAGTGGGGGTAGGGTGGGATTGGTTACATATCTAATTTTACCTTGACCGTCTCTTTCAGAAGCAGCCAAAAGAAATGTTCCCTCACCATTTACGTTCCTTTAGGGATGGGGACTACGTAACTTTTATCTCTGTTGCCCCCTCAGTCCTCAGCACAGTGCCTGGCACATAGTAGGTACTTAATATTCACTGATTAGGTGGCCATCTTGGTGCATGGCATTTGTCAATAACCAAAGTCAAATGAGTTCAGATAGTCTGAAGGACTGGGGCCTTGGGAAGCCAGAGCAAGGGCCCAACAGCTCACCAGAGCACTCCAATCAATCAATCAATCAATCAATCAATCAAAGACTACACGGTCAGGAGCATGGTTTTTAGTAAAATTCCTCCTTGTTTCTCCAGGACTTCTTCTAGGACTTGAATAGATGGGGGTGATATCAACTTTATGGCTACAAATCATTTTAATTTGTCATTAGGAGGAATAGGAAAGTCTGGGTGCTTTGCCCAACTGGTGGTCTTCTCTTGGACATGCTCAAGATTCCAAACTTATTTGTATTTTCTAGTGCCTGGCACCCCAAAGTTCCTTAGCGTGTCCCCCTGCCCGATGTTAAAAGCTTTAAAGACCATCTCCTCACTGATGCTGGCTGAGAAATTAGCAGGATAAATCTTCTGACCATTAAGTGGAATCTTCAGTCCCAGAACATCTTTTTTGGTTAAGTCATTTTAATTATGCTACTGCTGCTGCTGCTGCTGCTGTGATCACACTTTTCTGCTGCTTTCTTTGGAGAAGGAAACTCAGGGAGAGTGTTTGAAGACAGACTAAGTGACATGTGTCAAAACAAACTCCTTAATAGTCTGAGTTTATCTCTAGAAATTTTAATTGTCACGGAATAGGACTTTGTGAAGAATGAGGATTTGATTTCAGCTGTTACACACACACACACACACACACACACAAATTAACTTTAGTGAATTGTAAAGTCAATAACAAATTGTCACAGAGTCACAGATTAGGGATTTCTCCCTTGTTTAAAATTCTGTAGACTTTGCCATATGAGAAATGCAGTTTGGCGCTGACTAGAAATTAAACTGGTCCCAAGGGCACCACATTTATCAGTGATGCCTTCCACAGTTGCTTCAGCATAAAAGGTCTCTGGGTCAATGGAAAATGCACAAAGACAGGATTTGAGAGGAGGGGCTGCCTTTTGCCTTTCTTTGTATCCCCAGGGCTTTGCACAGTGCCTGACACATATTAGGCACTTAATAAATGATTATTCACTGACCGATCGACTGAAATGATTTTTGTGAGGTCTGAGGCCCTGGTTGTAAGTCCCATTCATCTGTCCACGAGACGTGGCTCTATGTTAACTTCTAGCCATGACCCAAGGCAGATGGGAAAAGTTTGTCATGTAGGCTCATGAGGAAGAATAGCTTTGGAGATAAATACATGAGGAGGAATTACTAGACTGTGGAAAACAGCCCTTGACTCCCTGACATACAACTGGATCTTTGGAAATACTCTCCTTAAAAAATATGGCGAGATTTTGAAAGGTTCCTTGGAAAGGCAAGACTTTCTTTGTTTAATGGAGACAGGAGGCCAGGCTAAGAGTATTCCCTGTCTGAGTTCTGGTTCCCTTAGAGCACTAAATATTCAGACCAAGCACAGAACAGGGTGGATATGCCACACACACTCCTTTGACAGGACTTGGTGCACTCCCCTGGGGGGGGGTTACACATCAACCCTAGCTGTTCCCTAAATCCAGAGGAAACCAGGCTTGGCTGTGCTCCCCAGTCCAACCTGTCCTCTGACATAAATACACAACATAAACATGGTAGACTTACCTTTCCTACAAGAACCAACCTTTCAAACCCTCTTTCCAAGACATTGATGTGTATCGTCCACCAGCCTAGAGGTACTGATCATATCTGTGATGGCAAATAACGAAAAACTCCAGGTCTCGGACTATGATTCTTGTAGGCTGTTCTAGTGACAACTTTTGGCTAAACCTAATTGGCCAGACCTTGTGCAAAGAGCATGTCAAGCTATGGCTACTGTTCTAGGTCTTGATGCACCTCAAGGCTGTAGAGGTTTCCCACAGTTAAATGGTTTAACCAGAAGTTACAGACCCACTTTGAATCGTGGAGATATGGCCAGTGATGAATTTTCTTTCTCTCTCCACCAATTCCAATTTGTTGTACATCATCAATGATTTTGAAGAGAGTTGGGTAGATATAAGTATATGGGAATAATTGGAATTTGAGTTGTAATTGAACTTGGAAAGCCATAGGGAAAAAGCCTTTATGTTATCTATTAGCAACGACCATGTTTGTAAAGTTGTCATGGTGGAGAAAAGGGGAAAATCTCCGTGGGCCAATCCACTCCTCCACTCCCTTTGCTTACCATGACTACACCTCCAGATTGCTCAGCTGTACACATGCTCATTATGGGCGCCATTCCAATGGTTGTCCCTTGGAAGTAAACCCCACTGGGAAAGGAAAAATAATATAGTAATTTACCTGGAAATAGATGTAATCTAAAATCCCAAAGGTTGTTTTGTGAATTTTGGATTATATCATCTTTACAAAGGTATCTTTGGCCAGGGAACCCCACTGCAAGGCCAAGAAGAGGGACAAGCAGGGCTGTGGAAATCTAGAAACAATGACCAGAAGGCACCGAGGGGCAGAAGTAGGATGGGCATAAGAGAAAAATTCCTTAAGGAGAGCCCTCCCAGATGAAGACGAGCTGCCTCCAGAGGCAGTAGGCTCCCTCTCTTCAAAAAGAACCTCAGCAAACACTTTTCTGTTTCATTGTAAAGGGGATTCTGGCCTAAGTAGAGTTGGACCAAAGGGTCTCAGAGCTCCTGTCCATCTCGAGGGGCCTGTGTTTCTGTGGAATGGACTAGATCAGCTGAAAACGATCCTTTGAAGACCACACTTTGGTTTTCTTGCTTAACAAGGCCCTGTTTTCTGTCCTGTTTAGTGCATGACCAAGGCTCAGAACTCACTTCAAAGTCATGGCTGATTTAAACTTGAGAAGTGAATGACCACAGAAAAAAGCAGCAAAGTCTTGGCATAAGCATGGACTTATTAAGCCCCAGGGCCCCAAAATTCTTTGAGATCAGAATCCCCTTTTCTTCTAGCTTCTCTCTTCACAAGAATATGCTAAGCACAGCATCTAGCACATGGTAGGCTCTTACTAAATGTGTGTACAGGGATGAGTCTTCTTGTTTCCCATAGCTGAAAGTGTTCACCCAAAAGGCCATATTTATATAATTAAAAAAGGTAACATTATAACGTAAGCAGCCCAATTCCTTATGCCAAGATTGACTGGCACTTGGCATATTTGAAAATACAAAGCTATGGATAATCCTGAGGTTCTTTTGTTGCAGGGAAGAAGTGTGAAGATGTAGCCTAGAATCACAGGATCTCTGGGGTGGAAGGAGCCTCATTTGATCTAATCTATTCCTGAACAGAGCATCTTTTCCACTGTCTCCAACAATAGCTAGCTTTTGATTGAAGGACTGTGTGTGTCCCTGTGTGTGTGTGGGGGGGGGTGGAAATAACCCAGCCTGAGCTTCCTGACACTGCACTCTGGGATTGCCCTTATTAGGACATTTGCCCTCAGCTTAGGCCAAAGTCCACCCTTTGGAAAGATTCACCCTGTGCTCCTGGTTCTACCTTCAGGGGCCAAGCAGAGTAAGTCTACAACATTTTCCACATGGAAGGGATCGGTCCCACCATGGGACACAGTGGACACCATGGAACTTCCCTGGGGGCACATAGCTCCAGGATGCTATGGGTTCTGCTTTGATGGTATGGATGCGGAAGTCTCTTTGGGCGAGTCACTTCAGCTTTGAAACCTCAATTTCCCCATTTGTAAAATGGGAGTATTGGACAGATGGCATCCAGCATGTTTTCCAGTTCCTGGGCTATGACCCAGTGACCCAGGTTGCCTTGTAATTTCACTATCTTAAGCCTGCTTTCTGGATGCCTTGTCCTTTAACATAAAACATAAGTCTTTCTAGGATATTTCCTTCCACTATTCTCTTCAACCCCCTCCCCCCGCCGCCTTTAACAGAGGACAATGATGTCACAATGTTGAGATGTGACCATGTAAGCAAAACTCTGCTCTAAAGGTCTTCCATCTCTCCATGGAAAGAAAAGACATACCAAGCAACCCAGAAGCATTAACTAAATGCTTGCTATGTGCCAGGCACTGTGCCTGGTTGTGGGGACACCAAAGCAAATTTGCAAGTCTCTGTTTACATTTAGGGAGTTCATGTTTCCATTAGGGGAGACAACATGTATACCTGTTAGTGTATTCCAGATGGATACAAAAGGTCATTTGACTGCTGAGGTCTGGGGAGGAGGTCTTAACAGCTGGAGGGGAGCCTCCTGCAGGAGGCGGGCCATATTTCCCAATCTGTTCCCCATGCCTATTAGTGGTTTGCTCATTATTTAGAGTCTGATTGTTTTTTCATTACTCTATTTCTTTAAGCGGAGAGGGAAGCCCAGCCCCTCACCTTACAAGCTGTGCGTTGTCATGGGGTTTACGAGGCAGCAACTTCATCTTTCTCCAGTCCAGAAATTCATGAAGACTTGCAAACGGGTCCTGGCTGATGGAGCACTTATCAATATCATTCCAGACTTCGACTCCAACCAATACTATTCGAATGTTCAGCGGTCTGTAAAACTAAAGAAATTGGACAAGCTAGAAGATCACACTTCGTGAAAATTCCCTTTCACTGTAAATTCATAAAAACACTTCTCTGCAGCCCACTCACCTCCATTTGCCTTCATTCCTCTCTTTAACCCTTTGCAACTCGGCTTCTATCCATGCCATTCTACTAGCCCAAATAGCAAGGCTGCTAGGTGGTGCAGTGGACAGAGCACTGGGTCTAGAGTTAGGAAGACTCATTTTTGTGAGTTCGAATCTGGCCTCAGGCACTTACTAGCTGTGTAACCCTGGGCAAGTTACTTCACCCTGTTTGCCTCAGTTTCCTGATCTGTATGAGCTGGAGAAGGAAATGGCCAACCTCTCCAGTATCTTTGCCAAGAAAACCCCAAATGGGGTCATGAAGAGTAAGACAGGACCGAGACAAAGTGACTGAGTAACAGAAAGGTGCGAATGACCAAAGGGCCCAACCCAATGGCCTCTCTTTAACTCCTAGAGCTTTTATAATCTTCTCACTCGCCTCCTTGAGCTCTCTCACACCTTCTCTGCTCTCTGGCCATGCTGCCTCTGTTTACATCACTCTCTCTTCATCACTTCAAGCCTTGGCTACTCCGAAGCTTCCTAATTTACCTCCCCAGCTCCAGCCTTAATCCTCTCCCACCCATTCTTTCCAGAGTTGCCAAAACCATCTCAATGCACACTTCTGATGAGGTCACTCCCTTAACAAAGGCAGTCAGTGGCTCCCTATTCCCTACAGGTGAACATACAACCTCTGGCATGGTCCTGAGGTCCCCCCAGAACCTGCATCCAAGCTCCCTTTCCCAATCTAATGTCACTGCCTCCTCTCTGCCACCATCCCGTCTTCCACACTCCCTCCACTTGGACTCCTAGCCTTGCCCTCCTCTCACTGGCCAGCCTCCGTGCCTGTCCTGTTTGATCTCCACATGAAATCCTGCTGAAAGCCTTCACTTGCTTCAGGGCCTAGTTCAGGGGTCATCTCCTCCATGAAGCCCTCCCTCCCTTTCCTTTTTGAGGTTCTTAGGACGGATCCTCTGCAGTCTGTCCTTTAGACTTAGCGCCTTCTCTCTGGGGCCATATTTATATCTTAGTCTCAACATCAGACTGGGAAGGGGAGATGCTTTGCATTTTTGTATCTTGAGGGCTGAGTTTGGCATATTGGGTATAGGAGATGCTGGACAGATGTCTGAGCCTTCTTTATTGCCAGTCTGAGGGGCAGAGGCATGGACTGGGAGTTAGGAAGACCAGTATTCATATTTTGCCTCTGACACTAACTGCGTGACCTTGGTGAATCACTTGGTCTCTCTCACCATCAATTTTGTCCCCTGCAAAATGAGGTCTTTTTTTTTTTTTTTTATTAAATGGCCTCTCAGGTCCCTTCTAGCTCCAAATCAAGGAGCTTATGAAAATAGATCTCATCTTGCCTCCCCATTTTTAATCCTCTTTTCCCATAATATTAGAGTCTAATGAATATTTACAGTGCACTGAGGCATGTACAACAGACACTCCACAAATGGTATGGATTAACTCCGTGTCACAGTCATTCATCGTTTCACTGCTAGACTGGGAAGCTTTGCACTGGCTTCATTTGGAATAAAAATCACTGCCCAAAACTTAAACTTACAGCCCAGCAAAAAGCTGTCGGGCCATGTCCACAAGAAGGGAAAAAACCAACCAGCAGATGGGTGAATCGGGACCCTTTCTCCACGAATGTCAAGGTTAGTCACTTGCTGGTTTGGAGAGAGGAAGGAGAGGTTTTCTCTACGAGTAAATAGGACTTCTGAATTCATTGCACATGTTCTGCATTTCTCTGCAGGGTCCTGAGCCTGCACAACGTTGCACATTTGACTCCCATCATTGTTAAATGAACAAATGGTTCTTTGCACCTCACGATAAGAACCTAGATGCCCATGACCTGGCGTGTTGTTCTTTGATATGACAGATACCTCAGCTGGTGTCTGGTCTGAGTCCGAGGTTGAGGATGGCCAGAAAGGAGCACCATGGATGTTTAAGGAGGGCAGGGGAGGGTGCATGGCTCCCAGATATTCCCTGAGCTCCTGAAGGACATCCGGAAAAAGACTCAGGACCGGTGTTGCCCGTGGGAGTGGAGGTGGTTGGGTACTGGCCTGGGCGTGGTGAAGGAAGGAGAGATGGCTGTGGACCCCTCCTCTACAAGAGTCACGTTGGCTGAGAGAGCCCTTGAGACTAGGGGCGTAGGTGAGTTCATGTGTAGGGGGAGAGAACATTGGTGTGAGGGAGCATTCCCGTGGGAGAAGAGAAGGCCCAGGGAATGGGCCTTTCTTTCTACTGTCTGTGGGAATCTGCATTTGAGTCACTCTCCATGCCAGCGACGAAGATCCCAAATGAGGCAGGTCCAGCACTTTGCAAACCTTACAACACTACGGACACATTAGAGAGTGGGAGGGAGAACGCTGCCTGGCTCTTCGCGAGATCTAGTCCCAGGTCCCTCCTCTGAACAGGTATTTTCCAAAAGCTTCCTGGGCCGCTGGGGAAAAAGTATCCTGAGTGGGACCCACAATGACTTCAGAAATGGGAGGCGAGGGGAGGGGCAGAAGAGCTTGGCAAGCCCCTTGTCTCGCAGATCACTTTTCCATGATTTTCAAAGAGATGTGGGAGTTATCATGGTAAAAGGCCATTAAATCATCTTGTCCTTTCCAATGCTTGTAAAAAAACTCAGTTTCCTCATTTGGAAAATGGGGATAATACTAGCACCCTCCTCATAGAATCAAATGAGATAACATAAAAGGACTTTACCAGTCTTAAATTTCTATATGAATAACATGTAAGTATATGATTATTAGCAAGTCTTTCCATCATTCATGGTGACTCTTAAAGCATAGGAGTCCTCAAAGTCTCTTTGGCTTCTCATTTCTCAGCATTCTCAGTATTCTCCCCTGCTCATGTGCCTGGCGGTCACCTAGGGATCGTCACCAAACAAAAAAGAATGAAAATCCTCCCACACCCAAGCCAATGAATGATTGAAAAGCGCACGTGAGTTTCCAGATGATGAAAAATATGGATGGAGGAGCAAAAGATCAGATGTAGAACTGGAGGGAGCCTTCAGAGGTCATCTTGCCCAAATCCTTCATTTTTACTGTTGAGGAAACTGAGGCCCAGAGTGCCCACAAAGTCACACAGGTAATAAAAGGCAAATCACCCTCAGTTAGAGGCACAATTCCATTGGGATGGAAGCTCCTCGAGGGCGTTTGCCTTTCTTTGTATCCCCATCCGTAGCATTTAGTATAGTGCTTGGTACAGAGTAAACATTGAATGAATGCATGTTGACTGACTGATGGACAAGACCAGCGCTGGTTTTTCCTCAGTGAACTTTCATCCTCCACATTGCTGAGGTGTCTCTTTGCCAGCCCTCAGCCCAGCTTCTCCAGCCCCCATTCAGCTCTCGATCTCACTCCTTCACAGCACACAAGGTGCCCATCTCAGGGTGACCGAGGGCTCTATGCCCACCAAGGCAATGGTGATCAGAACACAGGATTCCAAGTCAGGAATGTCCAAAATTCAACTCTGGTTTCACCCCTGGCATCCTTTTCTGTACAGAGGAGATAACGATGCCCTCCCAGGAGCGATGTCATGTCGGGATTAATTAGTCGATGTCTGTAAAGAGCTAATTGTTCCTATCTCTCAGTGTTAGGAGGGATGCTTACAAATCCAGAGGCTTTCCACACTAATGATGGGATTTCCCATTTCCAAAGGTTCCTGCTCTCAAGTACAAGGGAGTCTGGTGTAGAGGGTAGAGCGGTGGCCTTGGGGTCAGAGGATGAGGGTCAAGTCTTTCCTCTGACACATACCAGCGTTGTGACTTTGACACATGCCCTTGGTCAATCACTACATTTCAGAGAAGGTACCAGTCTGCACTGGCAGAGGGAAAGCCCTCATCTGGGAGTTCCCTCTATCAGCAAAATCCCAGGAACCTGTTCTGACTCAGTATCCATGGTTTTAATCATCACCTCTATGCAAAAGTCTCTCAAATTTGTCCACCTGTATCCCCAAGCCCCTTTCCTAAGATCAAGACCTGGCATCTGTGGGGATCAAAAATGACCACTTGAAGGAAGTGGCCCTCAAGGTCAGTCTTGAAGGGAGCTGGGGGCTCTGCAAGTCAGAGATGAAGATGGAAAGCATTAGAGTGAGGGAGTGGAGATGTGGGTGGGTGTGTAAAGACCTGGAGGTGGGAGATGGAATGTCATCTATTGGGAAGAAGGTGGAGAAAGTGACTAGGCCACTTTGGCAGGAACCCAGAATGCATTAGGAGAAACAACACATAATTTGCCTGGAAAGTTAGGGTGGAACAAGATTTTGAAGTACTTTCATTGCTAAAATAGGAGAGTTTTTATTTTATCCAAGAGGTAGTGGGAAGTCCCTGGAGTTCCTCTGATCTTCTCACCTGGAGAATGACATGGTCAGACCTACGCTTTAGCAAACTCCCATTGGCATGATGATATCAAAGATGAATGAAGTGGGAGGAGACTTAAGGCAGGGAGACTTCTTCAGGAGACTTGTGCAATGGTCCAACTCCCTTATTTTGTTGATGGAAAAATTGGTCAATGGGCAGCCTACAGGCACTGCCATATAAATTGCAATTCTTCCCCTGCTGGAGGTCTGCTCTCCCAAGTATGTAATGCACTTTGTCAACCTTAAAGCACTATATAAATACCAGCAACTCTTAACATAGCTATTATTGAGGAAAAAGTAACATGGCAATCACCCCCTGGGCTGGAGCTCGTGAAGGGCAGTCCTAATTGGGGTCAAGATTCCAGCCGTCCTTGGGACTGGCCCGGTGTCTGGGCAGAAATGAAGGATTGTCCAGCTGCTGCATTCCATGAGCCTGGGACACTGGGCTAAAGGAGAGGCTGACAGTCTGCATTAGATGAACTCCTTTAGGCTGGGAAGTGAAGAAGAATCCCACATGGAAATGAAAACACTTGGAAAATTTAGAGGATTTGAAGATTATCGTTATCAGCATTACATCAAGGAGCTGGAGCCTGAGCCACAAATTCCCAGACGCTGTTTGGTGATAACTCATCGACTTAACGTCTAAGAAGCCAGTTACAGACCCTGATGGGAAGGAGGAGGCCGTCACTCATCCATGCCGTTGGCTGTGGCCAAGTCACGTAAGCTCTGTGTACCTCAGTTTCCTAATTAGTGAAATGAAAGGGCTGGATGTGATGATCTCTTCCAGTTGTCGATCCAGGACCTCATGATCTACGTCTGCCCATCCTGTGAGACTCTTGTCCATGGGCTCCCACGTATCTTCTTCAGCGGGTCCACCAAACATATGGAGGACCTTACTCAGATCTCTTGACGTTAAGCAAATGAATGCATCAGTTATCCCTGATTCTCGTCATGTGACAAGCCCCCTTGCTTTTGATTGGACAGCTCTCTGTTACTCTGTTACTCGCCTGCAATCCTTCATAGGTCACCTGTTGCAGCCTGCTCATGCCTACCTTGGGCCCCTCCACTGCCTGACAATTTTTATTTGGAGACTAACATCTGTCTTTGGAGACTGGTGTTCCCTGAGGTTCAAGGTTAAGAAGGCAGTACTTCATCAATCACCTTATTGAGCGGTAACTCGTCAGTCCCTCCCTGACCTGACGATCACAAATGTAATCTAGGACATGAAACTCTCCTCTTTCAAGCAGTGGTTCTTAACTTTTTTGTGTGTCTGGGGTCCCTTTGGTGGTCTGAAGGCCATGCACCCCTTATCAGAATCATATTTTTAAATGCATGAAATAAAATACATAGGATTACCAAGGAAACCAATTGTGCTGAAATACTGTTAGCAAAGTACATTTTTTAAAATGGTCATGGATCATTGTGGTGAAGAACCCCTGGTTTTAAAGTAGCCAAATGCCTGAGAAACACAAATATTAAGGTGATTTTTTCAGCTCAAAGGAAAACTTCTGAAAGTCCGGTCATGGGCCCATGATTTAGAGCAAGAAGGGGCCTGGAGATTAGTTTGTACAGCTCCATCACCTTACCGATGAGATGATTGAAACCCAGAGAGGGAAGTGTCCCACTCAAGGTCACAGAGGGAATGTGTCAGGGGCGAGATTCGAATCCGGATTCTTGGGCTCCAAATGCAATGCTTTGCTCATTTACCAAACTGCTTCTCCCCACTCAGGCGATAATCCTCTTGGCTGCTGTCTCACTACTTGGCCAATCAGGCTGGGATTTTGTTTTCTCCATTCCATCCTTGTTGACATAAGGCTCAACCCGTATGAAAAGCCAACATGCCTGGGCTGCAATGTCTCTGGCTCCAGGCTCAGGTCAGCCTACCTAGAGAGGCTGATCACTCCCTTCCATGCCTGTTTTATAATTCAGGAAGTCAATGATGATGACTCTCCATGGATACATAGGCTTACCTGCTAGACACTCCTCAGGTGTGGATAATTGAGAGAATTAGGAATACAGTTTTATTTTTAAGCATATGAGAAGACAAAGTCCATCTATGACTTAGAGACAAGACCTAGGAAGGTTCCTCAGGCCCAGAGAAATTAAATGACCTGCCAAGGGCTGTAAGCCAGTAAAAGTCAGAGGTCAGATTCAATCCCGCTTCTCCCTGACTCCACAGCTACTACACCTTGTGGCATCCACGGAAAAGGCTAACGCTAACAGCATCACAAGCTGCTGATAAATCTCTACTTGCCAGACCTCTTTCATAAACCTTTGTCCAGATACAATAATATGTTTAAAAAATACAAGCACCTAGGTATGAAATATTAGCTAGCATGGCTTTATCTAACTCAGAATTTACTTCCCAGGCCTAATCCCGGCTTATCTTAAGGCCAGAATTCTTGAGGCTTTGACTGAGTCTGAATTTCAGAGGAATGTATGCTTTGAAAAGTTCAGACTGGCATCCTTCTTCCCATGACCTTTTCACAAAATATGTCTCTCTCTTTCCCCTCCCCTGAAATTTCTGGCCTCTATGAGCAGACGCAGGGATGCAATGATGTCTGTGCCTGGTTTCTCTGATAAGGAGGTTAGTTTCAGGTTTTACCCACCACGTTAATATTAACGAGGACATAAAACAATACATCTCTCCTTGTGTTCCCTGACTCCTAAGGTAATTAAAGATAAATTATTTTTGAATCTTCACAACTATCTATTGACTTCTTTCTTTTTTCCATTAAAGTACCAACAAATCTGTTTGCTCATTCCTCACATACTTATTTTGCTGGGTGTAGGGGTTACTTTGCATAAAATCCCTGAAGTCCACCCTACAACCAGCCTTGGCCTTCCAGCAGTTTCCAATCTATTTCAATCATCTGGTGTCTAGTTGTTAATTCTCTAAAGGCTGCCTTGTTCCACCCCTCAGGGCATTTTGAAGTTAGACCAGAGTTTCCCAATCCAAAGTACGGTATGTCCACAACCCAAACACTTTATTTTCTCCTGACTCCAGATCCAACCTTCTTCCTACTACACCATGCTTCCACCACATGAAACTGACCTTTTGATAGGAGCTGACCACTCAGGGTTGCCACTGTTGATGGACCAGTGGATATGTATTTGGAGAATGGACTAAAGGGGTCTCGAATACCCCTAGGACAGTAGACTGGCTTTGTTGTCCCCTAAGGTCTTTACTTGCCAGGGTAACAGGTTTGGAATAAGTAAGCAAAATGCTTGCCTTGTTAATAATATGAAAAGCTCTGAATCAGCTCAACCTCATCCTCAAACATTTATATAACTTCCAAGTGCTAATTATCTCAAGAAGGACTCACCTTATCCACATGATTGGCAATCTCTATTAAACGCTGCTTAACTTTCTCTACATCTTTTCCTTGTCTCTGAAACTTAATTTAAAGAGTAAAGTCAATGTTAGCAATAAGAATAATCAAACAGTGTTTCTGAGGACTCTGGAGTCATGAACATGGGTTTGGGGGAGGGCATGGACAGAAATAACTTAGGAAGATGAGGAGTAGAGAGGTCACTCTGGGTCACTGAAGGGAGAACCCACACCAAGATACTCATGGGTCCACTGAAGGAAGACTTTTCCTACTTCTTTAGAATAGTGAAAGTGATGGGGCTGTGGGACCCGGTTCCCTGAAAGTCCCCTTAAACTTTCCCACACACAACCCAGCCCCTGAACTTTCCCAAACTGGCTTTGACCTGAGGCACCTGGTCCATCCCAGCCCACCTAGATACTCAATAATCCTTTTAACTGCTCTTTCACTGTGGTTCTCCCACTTAACTCCTTTCATTGTCTGCACCTGGACCACCCCAGGCTATTTACCACTCCTTAACCCCATCCAGATCTTCTCACTGTCTTTTTTTGTATGTAAGTACCAATCTTACCCCCATTAAATTGTGAAGATTCACTAGGAATCTGCCTCCCATACTGGTGTTACAATAAATTGCCCCTTGACTGAAAAAAAAAAAAGTTCACAGAATACAATGAGAACTAAGCTAGTGTCAACTGTCAACTTCCAATTCATTTTTCTTCAATAACGGAACCCAACTAGCAGGACGGCTCCTGAGGAAACCTTTCTGCTGTCTGTGGTGCTACTGCCTCAGATGATTATTGATGTGCTTTGTTGCTAATGCTTTTAAACGGATGTGAGATAACCCAAAGCAAGCACCAATCCCTTCCTCCAATTTCCTCCTGGGAGTTTGGCCGTGAACTTACCTCTCGATTGTCTGCCACGATCACAAGCTCCACATACTTGGTTGTTTTCAGGGTTTCCCGTTTGTGCTGCCAAAAAATTAAATAAATTTAAGTCCAACTCCCTCATTTTAGTGATTGAGTTTTTTTAATGAACAAAAATCTATTTTTCTCTCCCTCTCATCTCCGTATCCCATTGCAAAAGAAAAAAAGGAAAAAATTTTTAAATAAATATGTACATTCAAGAACACACACAGACACACAGACACAGACACAGACACAGACACACACACACACACACACACACACACACACTCCCACATTGTCCATGAAAGTTAACTTTTCTTAAATCATCCTATGGGCTTGAGGAGTCCCCTTTTGTTATCTTAGACAGTTACAGCGTCATGAGGGTTTCTGCCCTGGATGGCTACCAGTATGATCGATGGTCGCCATATTATATATTAAAATAGAGCACTGAGCCTGGAGTCGGGAAGACGAGTTCAAATCTGACCTGAGACTTACTAGCTGTATGATTCTGGGCAAGTTACTTAAAATGGGAATAAGAGTAGTCCCTACCTCACAGGGTTGTTGTGAGAAGCAAAGGAAACAAAATGTGTGAATTGCTTTGCAAACCTTAAAGTGCTATTTAAAAGTTAGTCATTATTTATTATTATCATTCAGGACACTAAAGCAGCAGGGGTATACAGTGTTTCACCTCTCATCCCAGTTGAATATAAGCTCCCTGAGGGCAGGGATGACTTAATTTTTGTCTTCTCGTAGAGCAGGGTCTTGTACATAGTAGGGGATTTACTCAAGTTTGTTTGTTTGGATGGGATAGAGCTGAGAGGACCTCAAAGGTCACCTCTTCCCAGTAAGGTCACAGACAGAATCAGGGAAAGAACAGAGGGGTTTTTTCTGAAGTCATGCTTGGAGATCATGGCAAAGCTGGAATGAGAACACTCCTGAGGGTTCTCCCAGCTCTAATGATAGAGCCCAGCGCTCCTGGCTCCCAGTCCAGTCTTCTTTTCATATCGAAACACTCTTACAACTAGTAAAGGAGATGTGACCTTTTTGGCTTATGAAGGGGGGAAGAGCTATTTTTATAGGTCATAGGTCACAGATTTAAAGCTAGATAGGACCTTAGAGTATATCTGCTTCAACAGCCTCATTTTGCAGATAAGGTAACTGAGGCACGTAAAGTAATTTTTCCAAGGCCATAGGAAGGTCCTGAGAGTCAGGATTTGAAGCTGGGTCCTCTGAAGCTGCATCTAGCCCTCTCCCCTTGGCACCGCACTATGTCTCGTGAAACTCTGCAAGACGCACTACAGGAAGGGCAGGCTCACGGGATCTCGCTCTGGGGCCCAAAAGGAAGACGGGTTGTTGCGCTCCCCAGAGGCGAGGGGGCAAGCTTGGAATGTGGCCTCTCACCAGCAGAAAGAATGACAAGAAACGACTGAGAGAAAAGCAGATCCAGGGTCCGGGTGGAGCTCCCCCTTCACTTCCACCTCTCAAGGCCGAAAAGGGCACAGGAAAGTCGCCTGCTCTGGGAAGCTGTTCAGTTGTGTCCAGCTCTCTGGGATCCCATTTGGGGTTTTGTTGTCAACCACTAGAGTGCTTTGCCATTTCCTTCTCTAGCTCATTGTACAGATGAGGAAACTGAGGCAAACAGGGCTAAGTGGCTTGCCCGGGGTCACACAGCTAGGAAGTCAGTGGCTGGATTTGAACTCAGGTCCTCCTGACTCCAGGGCCAGCACTGCACCATCTAGGTGGGAAGAGCACATGGGTAAGAAGAAAATGTGAATACATTGGAGTTAGGGCAAGATCCAGCTAGGGAGCCAAGAGCAAGCTGCCTTCCACTGGATTTAAAGCTTTTGAAACCAGTAGAATGGAAACTCCAGGGCAGGGACTGGTTTGTTTTTGTGCCTAGAAAATAATGGGTGCTTAATAAACGCTTGCGTTTGATGGACCTAAGCTCCCTGAGGCCAGGACTGTCTCCTATTTTATCTTTATATTGTCAGCACCTAGTCAGTACCCTGCACATAGTAAGGGCTTATTTCTCTCTCTCTCTCTCTCTCTCTCTCTCTTTTTAGGCAATTGGGGTTAAGTAACTTGCCCAGGGTCACACAGCTAGTAAGTGTCAAGTGTTTGCTTTGAGGTTGGAGTTGAACTCAGGTCCTCCTGATTTCAGGGCTGGTGCTCTATCCACTGTGACACCTAGCTGCCCCTGTAAGGCTTAATAAAGGCTTGTTAGACCAGATTAAATTGGTGATTCTCCCAACTGAATCCAACTCTGACTCCTTAAGGAATCCCCAGGCGATTGCAGGAGGACAAAGGAGAGCCGTTCTCAGAGGGTGGTCTCAAGACACAAACCCCGAAAGTCCCAAACAAAGCATCCTGTTTCTGTAATAAGCCCTGGAAGGAAAATGCAGGTCCAGTCCACTTGGCAGCTCAGACCCAAGACTTGGGGTTTATGAGCTGAACTGGATGCAATATCTCCCATTGAAAATCTACCCATTGTAACCACCACTCTTTGAGACGAAAGGAAAACAAACGACTAAGGCATGATTTCAATCCCAGTTCCAGTCACAGAGCCTGGAGGGAAACCTTTTCCCTTTTTTTTTTTTTAAGTTAAAATCTTCTCATTAGCTCAGGATCTTCCAAACAGACTTTTAAAGAAGACTGTTTGTATCCTAGGAGTGTTCCTCCGGGCTGCCCAGCTGTGCTGATTCATGAATTTGAGTTTCCTCGAAGGAAATCTGCAGCCTGGATGAAGGGAAGGAAAGGACATTTCCTGTCCTTCAAGGATCTATGATACTACTGGCATAGGCAGTCCTTCCACAATGCAGGTTGTGACTCCTTTCTGACCTGGCAGAGAGTCTTTGAAAGTTAATGTGGTTGAAAAAAACAAGGCAAAAAAAACCCCAACCAAACAAAATTATCCCTGAGGCCAATCTGTACTTAGCCTCTCCAGTCCCTGGACAACAGACGTGCAGCCTAATCCTTGCCAGAGTTTATTGGAACCCAACCCCTGACTATTGAAGAACTGGGCTGACAAAACCAAGTAAAACTCCGTTAGCTCTGCAATCTCAGTCCCTCCACAGATGCAGGTGGTGACTTACCTGGGCCACTCCCATTCATATTGTCCATTAAGGACAACACAGAAGGCTTTGCTGACAACCTATGAAACCACTTCCACTACAATCGGGATAACACGTCTGATTGACAACTGGGAGACTTAAAAGTCATGTTCTGAACACAATAGGGCTGCTATCTGGGGTGGGCCTACAGATAACAGTCATCGCCATCTACCTGAAATCTCATTAAGAGCCTTCTCATTCTGTGATTCTCATTGCCCAATAACCCCTCAACAAACATCCATTAAATGCCTATTATGTGCCCTGTGCTTTACTGGGGATACAAAGAATTCTGGCAATCTTTACTTTTCAATCTGATCCATTGCAATCTACGTCATCCCGTAAACAAGGAGTTTCTACCCAATGTGTGAGCCCACCCTCAGTTCTTCTGCGATTCTAGGGTCTTATTTTCACCAAGTGACCAGCCCATCTTCACTTATAATCATACCTTGGGATTAAGAACAAGCTTATATAAAACAAGCCTTTGGGATGTGATGTTTCCACTTTAAATACTTCAAGGACCTAAGACTTCATCTGTGTGGTTAGTCCATGCACTGACACAGGTGGCCACTATGCCATGCTCGATGCACCATTGTCCTAGGTTGCTGTGGTCCCCCAAAGTTGGCACCCATTGGCTAACCTGAATTTAGTTAAGTTGGTACCTGGATGATAGACATGTAGATTGTTGCCAGGCCTGGAATCAACATTTGCCCATCTTGGTATGACTTGCCAAAGATCAGGCATGGGCTTTCAGAGGTCAGGCTCTCCTCCATGGCACAGAGAGGCATCAGGGGAGGATTTTTATGGGAGCTCTCTTGAAAACATGGCACTAAAACACTTTGGTTATCTTGAAATGTTGTGAAATTGAGGAAGCCTCCAGGATGTTGAGTGAACCCTACATTGCAAACAAGTGGGAGGGCATGGGCAAGAGCTTCGGGAGAGGAAGGAGGGTGCAGGTCACAATCTGCATAGTTGGAGAGACATTCAAATCAGTGAGCTCAGAGGTCCTTGGAGAATATTTGAGAATTCGAGTGCTAACATCAGTAGATGGCTTTTTAACCCATAGGCCATTCCCTGAACCATCAAAACTGTATTGCAAGTTACACCAGAAATCACCCAGTCTGGGGTTAAGCACCCTCTTGATTTCTGACCTCCCTCAGAGTACCCCTGCCTTGGCCCTGGCCAACTGTATACAGAGGGGACCATTCCCGAGAGAACAAGTCAACAATGAACATCGTTTTCTTGCTCTGCAGTTTTCAGAAAGATCTGACTTTTGTTATGAATTCACGGAATCGAGGGCTTGGGAGAAACGCCCAACCACATAATCACTAAAAGCTGTGAATGAGGGGTAAGCTGATGAGCACTGATGGCTCATCTCCCCCAGCTGTCCAAAGCTGGTGATTTAGGTCGTGTCTACACGGTCCCAAAACATCTGGACTGCTCAGCAAAAATCAGTCAAACTCGTTATCTGCTGATGTGGACCAAAATTCAAACAATAACAACAACAACACCACACACACACACACACACACACACACACACACACACACAAAATCCCCCAACTGGTCATTTGACTTAAAATCTCACTTTAAGGCTTCTGAACAGAAGCCAGCCCAGACGCACTCTGCTTGAAGAGAGGTCCAGCGTGCAGGAATAAATGAAGGGCTGATGCTCCCATCGCCCTCTTCCTTGGCCAGAACACCACTGAGGCTTTGTGGTCACCTCTGGGGGCCGGATCTCAACGAGCATGTGGATAAGCAGGAGAGTGTGCAGGAGAGGGCAACCAGGATGGCAAACGGTTTTCTCATTCCGCTCTAAGAATCCTTCAGAGGACCTAGGGATATTTAGCCTGGAGAACAGGAGACTCAGGAGGGACACGGGAGATGTGTTGGTGTATTTTGAGGCTGTCATGGGAAAGAGGGATTAGACTTTTTCTCTGACTCCTCATGTGACTTTCAATAAATCCTTGGGGCCACAGTTTTCTCATCTGTAAAATGAGACAGTTGGAGCAGAAGATGGAGGCAGCTTGCCGGTGGCTTGAAGAGCCTAATGGCTTACCCGAGTCTCGAGTTAGCATTCAAACCCAGACCTTTCTAAAAGCATGGGCTCATGGATCTGCAGTTGGAGAGAACCCCAGAGCTTATCTCTTCTAACTAAACAGGATCTGTCATGGGAAAGAAGCACTGGGACTTTTCAGCCATGATGCATTTCCTTGTACCTGGCCTGGCAAGGCAGCTGCTTGTGAAGGTAGGCAAATCCTACCTAGGGACATTACAATTAGAAAGTGGAGGACAGCTAGTCCCCACAGCCTGGAAGAACAATAGGCAAATTCATAAATCAAGGGTCAGTTTACATTTCTTTAATGAAGAAAAGGAATTTATCTGCTCTAGTAAAGCCTAGTGCCTTAAGAACAAATTGACAGAACCTGAATCCTTGCTAATAAATGCCAAATGTATGAAATCCAAGCACATTACTCCTTATTAGGGATAGGAACTGGGCTTGTGATTTCATTGGTATACAGGACTTCCAGGGGAGGAAGGTCCCTCTACCAATGCAGGTGACACCTTCTCTTTAATCTAGAGACTTACAGAGTTGTCCAGAAAGCTGAGGGCCTCAGGATTTGCCGCCCCCCCCCCCCCACACACACAACCAGTGTGTGCCAGAGATGGGATCTGAGGTGAGGTCCTCCTGGATCAAGGTGGGCTCTAATCACTAGACCATGGCTGCCTCTTTGCTAAGAACAAGGGAAAGATCAAAGGAAGCCAACAGAGCTCCCTTCTAGAAGGCTCCTGGCCTGAGCTGACAAAAGCAACAGAAGTGAATTTCTTAATTATTCTCCTATGTTCTAGATCCCATCAGAATGTCTGCAGTAAGAAAAGCACCCAATTTTAAAACAGCAGCAGCAACAGACTACAGCATGGTGAGAAAAGCCCTGAATTTGCTTTGGGCAAGTCATTTTACTTTTCTGAGCCTCAGTTTCCTCATCTGTAAAATCAAGGGATTGAAATAGATGATTTCTATGATCTTTCCAGAATCAAGTCCTACAGTCTTATAAAAAGAAGACAAGTTCAGTCCAGGGTTAGGGCATTTGAGCAAAGCTCATTTGGGCCTATTCTAATTTCCTATTCTGATGCACCCAATGGAATTGGCAGTGACTTACCGTCAATGCATAATTATGGAGGGTGCAAATATCCCCAAAACAATACATAATCCAAAAGTAATTTGTATTTGTGTTTGGAAGGCATCATACGATGTGTTTTTGCAACAGGAAGTTTAATTTCTTACTTATATTTAGCTTAGGCTAATATTAAAATTAGCTTGGATTCCTAAACACAATCCAAATGACAGGGGACAGGGCGGCAAGGGAAGTAGGGGATTAGTCATCCCAAAGCAGGCTGGGTGATGGGGAGAAGTGAGCCGGGGAGGTAAGTGGTAACTCTGCATTCGGGTCTCTGTCCAAATGCTCCCTCAGATACTAGGAGGTACAAACCCTTGTAAAAATGACAAACAATTGCTGAAGGGTTTGTCAAAGAGGGGTTCCACATATCTGTGTGGAGATTTATTCAGGCAGCTTCACAAAGAAAACTCTGCCCATAATGAATATGGACAGAAAGAAGATGCTGGCATGAGGAAGTTGGAGTATTTGCCCAACACAACTGCTTTTGATGCCCCAGAGCCTAGAGCTCTATTTCTATGGCTCATTCAACATGGCGGTCAGTAGCTGGTGGGTGACTTCAGGATTTTTATCAAAACCATCCCTTGATGCCTCATCATTTGTGCAGGTGGCTTTGGGCCTCCAGAGGCTCTACCCACAAAATCCAATATCTCACAGGTGCTCTCAAGGGAGAAGGACTTCCAGTACAGACTGCAGCTGTTTTCCAAGAGCCAGACATCTAGCTAAGTTTGGAGACACTCATGTCCAGCAGGCTGGCTTCCCTGTGATATTTTGGAGAGGGGCCCCAGCAACTCACGAAGAGAAGGAGGGCTTGTGACCTGTCTTGGTGGAGAAAAAGCAAATGGGGATGAGGTCAAAGGTCTGTAAAACATGGCCACTCATGGCAAGGATCACAAGCTCTGTTGGGCAGCCTCATTCTTTGTGATCATCTGAAGTAATCCTGTAGAGAATCTTCATCCACCCATGCTTGATTTGGAAATCATTCCTTTGAACACAATTTCCATTAGAAAGATATCAAGAACATTTTCTCTTCCATAAAACCAATCACAGATGATATGGTCTCAGAGTGAAATATTGAGAGCTTGGTAGAACTGCATGTGCTATTTCCCCATTTCAATTTAAAGCTTCACTTAAATTTCAATATGTGTTGTTAGCAAAATAATGCCACCATTAAGTACTTCCTAATCTTCATGTAAATCAAAGTGATTTAGGACAAATTCCTGGGATGCCCCTAGTTCCTGCAAACTGAGAGTGATGAGTACAGCTAATTACAAAATATCCAAAGGTGGTTGGCTCACACTGAAGACCCACGTAGATGCTTTATTAAAACTGCAAAATAGTACAGTATTATCTATACTGTCATTCTATAGGAAGCTGATTCTGGAGATTTGGAGCTGGAAGGGAACTCAAAAGTCATGGACTCCAACCCTCTCATTTTATAGTTGAGGAAATTAAGGTCTGGGGTGGGGCTGGGGGGTTAAAGGACTTGGCAGGATTCAAACCCAGACTGCATGCTGCCATGAAAAGGGGGATGGTTTGGAGTTAGAGGACGCAGGTTTGAATCCTAGCTCATATACTCACAGATCCGCAGCTCAAAGGGACCCCAGAGGTCATTTAGTCCAACCCTTTGATTTACAGATGAGGAAACTGAGACCCAGGAGGTGAAGTGACTGGGCCAAGTTTATACATGGTAGTAAGCCTCAGATGTGGGATTTCAGCCCAGGGTTCTCTGTCTCTAAATCCAGTGTTCCCATGTAATCTCCTAAATATCTATTCAGTTAAGGTACAAGTCCCTGGAGATACACAGATAAAATTTTAAAAAGAGCCTGTCCTCAAGAGTTTGGTTCTGTCTGGAGGAGACAATGTGTAAGCAAAGATAACTGAAGGAGAAAGCGATTGGGAGTAAAGGAACAGGAAACAGAAGCAATGATTCTAAGACCTGAGAAGTAAGGAGGAAGGGCATCCCAGGCATGGGGAACAGCCTGTGCAAACCCTCAGAGGCCGGAGATGGAGGGCTGCAATCTTCCACAATAGCACAGCAAAACACAAACCCCTCTAGGGCAGATTTTTTTGTTGTTCCCTCTGTGCCTAAGGAAAGCATCCAGCATATACTGGAGTAGGGACTTAAGATGTGCTTCTTGACATGGATTGAACTGGATAGTGTAGACATAGCCTGAGTTTTCCCAGCCTTCCAGGAAAAAGAAATGGATTTTTTTCCTACCCTCCTTGTAAACGAGTGAGGGGACCACTGCGTGCCATCCATGGTCCTGCCTGAGATGTTGAGAGGCTGCTGTCCACATGCCCCCCAGGCGGTTTTCAGAGTCTCTGCTGGCTGGAACTTGTGTTGACCTGCAGCATCCTTCAATGGCTCTAAGATGAAGGCTTGGTTTCCGAACAGAATAAGTCCCCTGTTGAAAAAGAAACAGCAGGCTATAATGTCTTTAGAGTGTCTGTGGCTGTTACCGTATTTATGACTCAGTGAAAGTGAACATGGTCATTCATACTTTCAAATTCTGTTGAAAGAGGGTACTTCCTACTTTGGACTGATTTGCTTTGCCCCCTAAACTCAAAGCCCTGATGGACATAGTCCTGGTCTCTTGCCCCTGGTTGCAGTACTGCACACTAACATAGCCCTTGAGGTGCTATGCTGAGGCTTTTGAGGGGGGCTTTACCAGAGGATAAGCTCATGCCCTCCAAAAACCAGGCAGTACTGTTTCACCATGCTCTATCTACAATGGCATCTCTTCATGTATCTAGGGACCACAGAAGAGCTGCTTGTTGGGAACCAAAGGATGTAGAGATGTCTGCATTAGGAGGGTCTGAAACGTGGAGGAAGACAGCCTTGGGATCCCTTTGGGAAGAGGCTTTCTTGCCTGGACAAGTCTCTTCCAGCTCTGAGGTGATCAATCAATCAATTAAGCAATCAATGAAGTCATCAATCAACAAGCATTTATGAAGTACCTACTATGTGCAAGGGAAACTGCTAGGCACTGGTGACAGACATCAAATGAAATCACTCCTGACCTCAAGGAGTTTATAGTCTAGCTAGGGGAGACAATATGTGCATATTCAGCAAGTTATGAAAGAGATACAAGATAATTTGGGAGTGGGGAGGTATAGGGCACTGCCCAAGTATCTATGTTGGGCATAGAAAAACCAGAGGAAGACTTCCATTCTCCCACAGTAGGTCATAGAGTCATAGATTTAGAGCTGGAAGAGGCTGTCTAATTTAGCCTCCTCATTTTACAGATGAGGAAACTGAGGTCCAGATAGTGAAGTGATTTGCCCCAAAGTCATAGAAGTAATAAATGTCAGAGGTAAGATTTGAATCCAGGTCTTCTCACTCCATAGCCAGCACTCTTCCCATTGAATCACACTGCCTTTTATGGAAGATGTGTGGGAGGACCAGACTGAGAGGGCAGAGAGGTGCTATGAGTGGCCCCATGGAAGGGATGAGTTCCCATGCCCATGAAACATTGCACATTGACCTAAACACTGAGGTCTAGGACAGACTTCAAGACTTCAGTCCTTCCACAACCTCCCTGCTACAGCTCCCTCTCTACTGCGTATGGGACCTTTCCATTGGACTTGCAGCGTCCTTCCACATGTGGACTTTCCTCATTAGTATGTGACCTCTTTGAGAACAGGGACTGAATGACTTAAATCTGGAACCTCAGTATTTAGCTGGGGTTTAGCTTAATGACAAGCTAAGCTGGGCTTAACAAAAGCTTTATTTACTCACTCATTGCTACTCATCCACATCTTTGCCTCCAGTGTAGATGCTTGGCCATATCCTCTCCTAAACACTCCACAGGATCTCCACCCAATGGCCTGGAGACTTTCCACTAGGTCTCCAACCACTCTTCTCCAGTTGCCAGGCTGTTGACCTTTTTTTTCCTCTCACTCTCTCCCATCCCATTACCTTCCCCTTCTTTCCTGACCATATGCTTCCTGGATGATCTTTTTTAACAATGTTACTTGCTTGCAAGTCTGGCTGGTGAGTCATGAAAGAGAGGACTTGGAAAAGAAGCCTACACTGCAAAGTGGAAATGAATGTGGACTTCTTTGTCTGCCATGAGGATGCTGGACAGCACATCTTCTTTGGCTGGGCCATGTGTCTTAGAGCTTGGAGGCTGAAGGGCAAGTGAGAGGCAAAAATCTTAGCCTAAGTCTTGCTTCTTAAGTGCAAGGTAATTAGATGATTTTACTTAATAGTCTTTTCATGGTCTTGAAGGCAAGATTTTTCTCCAGAAAAGCTGCAATTTAGATAACAGCAAATTAACATGATTAAGAAAAGAGTTTGCAGAGAGTTGAGTCCTTTTTCTTTGTCAAATTTAGGGAAAATGTCTTGCATAATAATGGATTTCTCTTTATGAAGAGATTTCTTGCTTCCAGTTTTTGGGGTGGGAGGGTTGTTGTGTTTGAGGGTCAGGAGATGGTTATAAACCATGACCACTATGAAGAAGAGGGAGGATAAGGAGCAGGAACTGGGAAGGTGGTTTGGAGGAAGTATCTGGCATTGTGGAGAAGGTCAGGCTTGGAGTTTGGAGAGGGGACTTTGTATGACTTGGAGGAAAAGGAAGAGCACAAGGAGACTGGAGAGAAGGGCTTGAGGAGAAGGAACGAGAGAAGATGATCAGTGAGGATGTAAGGAGGAGAAGGTAGTTCGTAAGACACACTCCACCCAGCAAGCAAGGAAGAGTTAGGATGTCCATGGAAAGAAAATGGGGAGAGGTCAGCCCAGGTTCTACTGAAGAGTGGAGGGTAAGAACCACAAAGATGAAGGCCCTCAACCTGCTCCAAGTAGCCTGCCCCAGTGGTGCTCTATGGATATAAGGATGGCAAAGGACCAAGGTGTCATTTGCAGAGGAGGGAGAATTCTGCAGTGATCTCTGTAGAGGGTGCTATGTTAGTATGCTCCAAAGGCTGAAGGAAAATCTATCTCCACTTCCCAGGTCATCAGGAGGAAGGGAAAGGAACAAGCATTTATATAGTGCTTACTATGTACCAAGTGCTCTGTTCAGTCCTTTAAAATATTCTCTCAAAGGACACTGAGAGGCAAAGATGGAATCCTGAAAAGTGCCAGTTGATTGACAAGTGGAAAAAAAAAAAACACGCTGAACTTGGAGTCCCAAAACCTGAGTTTGAGCCCCAGCTCTGCTACTTACTACCTTGGACAGGTCACTTCATCTCTCTGGGCCTTAGTTTCCTCATCTTTGAAATGAGATGGCTACACTAGGTGGCCTTTAAGGCCTCTTTCAGCTCTAGATCAATGACCCTACAAAGAGTGCCACACAAAAGAGAAAGAGAAAGATCACTGAACAGTGGAGTGAAGCAACAGACATATGGCTTTTTCCACAGAGGAGGAAGTTTGATCATCTGAGGATGAAGCCGCCAAAGCCCCAGGAAAAGATGATGTGGATTCACAGGTTGAAGATCTTCCAGGACGGGCAGAAGAAGCAGAGATGGTCCTGGTGGGTGTGAGCCCACTGTGCCAGAGCCTGAGGTGGCTATTTGCTGATCTGATAGCCACAAAAGAGAAATTTGTGGGCCTCAAGGGGCATCTATCTAAGACAGGGCAGAGAATGTCTTGTGTAGTCACACTAACTGACTAATAGTTTCTTCTGATGTGGGCTCAAATGACCTTCCCAGAAGGTTTTGAGAAGACATTGCTAAAGATTACTAAGCCTTGGGCAAGAAACTGAAGACCACAGGGGCACAGGTGGCATCTTCAGCATCGCTGCGGATCAGAGGAAAAGACCCGAAAAGAGAAATGCAGATTTGGGAAAAATGAACAGTGGCTTAAAAAGGATGTCTGCAAATGGGATTTGTATTTCTGGACAATGGCTTAGAATATAGGGATGATGTGTTCCTAAGCATGGATGTGGCGTTACTTACAAGGGCTAGCAAAAATGTCCTTTCCTGGAGTCTTGAAAATCTAATAAAAAAGTTTTAAACTAGAAAGGTGATAGGGACAAAACTGACTACATTTTTTTTTCTGTCCAGCTAGGTACCATAGGGGATAACTGTAACATGGGAATGTCCAAAAATGAATGGGAGAAAAAATTCCAAGAAAGGAGTAAGTGAAAACCAAACCCCAAAATGGCCTCAGATGTCCATACACAAAGGAATAAGGTGAAGTAGGGATCCTATCATAAGAAGGCAAATTTGACATCATAGGTATTGCCAGGTCTTACTGGGAGAAGACCCATGACTAGATGAAGGCTCTGGAAAGGAATACTTTCTACAAAAGAGACTGTATAGTTAAGAAGGCAGTGGCGGTGGTGACTGAGGTGGAGAAGCATTATACCTTAAGGAGATATGCTCATGGGAGGAAATCCTAGGAGCTGAGGAAGGAAGTATAATGGATAACATTCGAATGAAAATCAATGAAGACAAAAACCTTGATACCACTTAGATACAAAGATGAAATAGGTGAGGGTTCTGGGAAGCACTTTATGTGACTAGTGAATTTGATGGCTGAGCCATCATCAGTGATATTTGAAAGATCACAAAGAATGGCAGAAATACCCCAGGAGCAGAGAAGAGCAGATGTCCTAATTTGCCCCTCTGCCCAAAAAGATGAAAGGCTTTAGTCTAAAAACTACAGGCCAGTGCCCTTTTTTTCAATTTCTGGTGGATTTCTAGAATGCATTTTTTTAATTGAGTCTTTTTTCAATAAGCAAAAATCTTTTTATTTTTCTCTCACATTCCCTAAGCTTAATTGAGAAAAAAAATAAACAAAACCCTTATAACAAACATGCATGGTTAACAAAATAAATTTACCCACTGACCATATCCAGAGATATATGTCTAGAACATCTTATTAGAAGGATAGTTAAGTGAAAATTTAGAAAAGTAGGTAGTGATCACAAAGGGTCAGCCTGGCTTCATCAAGAACAGGTCATGTTAGATTTTCCTCATTTCCCTTTTTGGGTAGAGTTACCAGACTGGAGGATCATGGGAATATTGTAACTATAATATATCTAGATTTGTGTGTTAAGTTTCTCATGTTATTTCTATGGATGAGTTGGAGTGATGTAGACTTAAACAATGGTATCATTTGGTGAACTGGAAGCTGGCTGAATGAATAGAATCAAGGTGGTTATCAGTGGTTGGATGCCAACCTGGAAGGAAGGTGTTGTCTTGGGAAGTGGGCTTGGCTTTACTCTCTTTAATATTTTGACCAATGACTTTGAGGAGGCTATAGCTGGCCTACTTCCCCAATTTGCAGATGATTTAAGGTGGGATGGAAAACTAGCACATTGGGTGACATGAGTTAATATCACAAAAGATCCTGACAGGCTAGAGCATTGGGTTAAACAGAATTTGATGAAATTGAATAATAGAAATAAATATAAAGTCTTGGGTTCAAAAATAAAATCTACAGATAAAAGAAAGGGACAGT